AGAGAGTAAATGAGGGAACACTGCCTGAATTTCTGTTCTTTGAGGTCTACAACATCTTATCTGAAGAGATAAGAAACTACAACACCAACTGCAGAAGTTTATGAGAAGTTGTAGCAGAAGGATCACAAATCTGAGGCCAGCCTAGGCAACTTAGCGAGGCCTGGTCTCAAAAAAAAAAAAAAGTTTAATCCTACATGAAGTTACTTAGGATACCAAGATCTAGATAACACTACATAATATTTTACTAATGCAACTGCAGCTCCACTTGACTGTGTGACCATACACAAGTAACCCAACCTCTCTAGGTCCTACACTTTTCAATTAGAAAATGAAGAGGTGTCGGTCAGAGGCACAAAACTGCCCACACGCACAAGGCCCCGGGTCACCGGCACTGGGGAAACAAAAAAGGAAAGAGCTACCCACATAGCTCCTAAAATCACTGCCAGTTTTAACATCTTGGCATCTATGAAGCAGTCAACCAATCTGGTTCATTTGGATCATTAAGTTTATTGGGCAATTCATTACATTTTCAAAATAAAATCTTTCCAGAGTTTCCAATCTTTTACAAAAGTAAGATCTAATAAAGTGCTAAGCTGGGTTTTAGTTTGAAATGACAAAGCTAACAAAAATGCTATAATTTTTAAAAAAATCTTGACTCATGATTTGTTTAAAAAATATGCCATTGCGCTTTACACTGCATTTCTCTGATTATCGGTGAGGGGGCACATTTTTAAAGTGTCTATTAGCCATCTGCATTTCTTTTTCATAGGTCATTTACTTTTAAAATTAGGACACTGCAGTAGGGTAACAGGAGGAGGCATTGCTCAAATCAGACCCAGCTCACCTACTTGGAACTGTAGGATTCCTAGCCTTGGTTCAGCCCTGTGCTTTCTGGGATATGCCTGCCTTTCATTATGTGCTAAATTCAATGGAATAAAAGTGGCTGCAAGCATAGCATTGTGGGGTTCCGTATTTATTCTCTTTCTGTGACAGCCGCATCCAATTTTCTCAGTTGAGAAGTCAAAGAGGTTACATATTCCACACAGGACCTGGAAATCCAGCTGAGCTGTTTGAGTTTCTTTTTGCTTCTCCATGAATAAAGATTCTACAGAGGGGCCTTAAACAAACAATGCTGCTAATGGTGTTTTGTGAGGCAGATGGGTCCTCAAACTCAACTGGCCAGGGAGACGCTGGCTTTGCCTAGCTAAGTCCACGGCAAAAATTTGTTTTGACCAAAGAAACCCTGTAACTGGATATGTACTTAAAACGCAGGGAAAGAGGAAGTGTCGAATGAGAAAGCTTTTTTCAAAAACCCTCTGCTGATTTTCCAAATTTAACCATGCCCTGTAGCCACAGCACTGTCCTGAAGTCACCTTCTGTGTCTAGGTGACCCGGTGGCTGCGCAGTGATTCAAATGATGGAAAAATATCTTCTCCTGCCATCTGGGTTCTATCAGCGAGATAAAACAACACTGTCAGTTTCAAGAACATTGAGAAGTTCCATTTCAAGAAAATACCTTTGTGCAAAAAGGGCTGCATCCCTGTGGATGGTACTGCTTGGGATAGCTGCGTTTGAAGTTCTGATACACCACAAGTGAACGGCACGCAGCAGTATCATGGTTTCCTTGCTTTCCGGGCTGCACACAGGAAGCCTCATATTTTTTCTACTCATATGTAGCCCATTTACTGTGCCACAGAAAGCCTAGGCTATGGGTGGTACCCACAGATGAAAGCAACAATGGGACTGTAAAAAGCAGCCTGCTGACAGTTTCCAGCTTGAAATGCCTCGGCCCCTAGGAAAATTTCAGTGGTCAGAAATGTGTTCATGTTTGTGTCGAAAGAAACCACATGCCCGACACTAAAAGCCAATGTCAACAACCGAGAAGTCAATGGAAAACAGCACAGCATCACGCAGCCTGATTTGGTTCAGCAGGGAACAGCAGGAGATGGTGTGCAACAAATGATGAAATTACTGCATCTTTTCAGCATGAAGGCAACATTAGGCTGGGGTGTAGCTCACTGGTACGGTGCTGGCCTAGCATGCTTGAGGCCCTTGATTCCAGACCTAGCACAGCAGAGAAGCATGCAAACTAGCGAGAAAGGTTGCCAGTGACTAAGGCAAAAACAGAAATGCCTTTCCTACTGTCTAGATCTGCTCCTGCAAAGCCTCAGGTAGCTTCTATGACATAGACATTTTTTTTGGTCTTTTTGAGACAGGGTTTCACTATGCAGTTCAGGCTGGCCTTAAACTCACTTTGTAGCCCAGGGTGGCCTGGAATTCACAGAGATCCTCCTGCCTCAGCCTCTGGAGTGCTGGGATTACAGGCGTGTGCCACCACACCTGGCCTAGATTCACTTATTCACATATTAAAAAATAATTTCTCTTTCCCTTTTCTCTCCTACACTCCCAATCCCCAACATACATTAACCCTCCCCCAACCCCTCAAAAAAGGAAAGAATCAGAATATAGGGCAGTGATGGTGAACCTATGACATATGTGCCGCTGCAGGCTGTTTGCATCATTGAAAGCTCTAAAAGGTTTGCCATCACTGATATGGGTCTTGCTATGCTACCCAGGCCAGCATCAAACACCTAGACTCAACTGATCCTCCTGCCTCAGACCCCTGAGTAGCTAGGCCTACAGACAAACACCACCAAGCCGGGCCTAGAGGCAGTGTTCATTGACCTCTGACTGCAGACGCCGTACCAAATGATGAGGTGAGCAGAGGCCTGGGCAAGTGAAAAATAACAAAGTCAGAAATCTTTCTCTTATCCTTTCGTTTCTCTTCAGATGATATAAATCTTTTGTTTTAAAAATCGTTGTCTTAGAATTCACTAGTAAACGCAGTCAGGCCAGAAATAATCCAGGGAAGGAGGGGACAGTCTTGTGGGGTTGAGAGGTAGGCCCAACTAACCGTGCCTGTTCAATTCTGGGCAACAGCTGCCACAGAATCTGCACCTGATTGGTTACCCTCTTTGAACAAAGGGAACTTGAAATAATTTCTATGCATACAAGTAAACTTTCTTTGACCCACTAAATTCCTTTTGACTTAAAAAAATACAGAAAAACAACTTTCTTATTGAAACAAAACATAAAGTAAAATACACAATTTTTTTGTTTTGTTTTGAGACAGGGTTTCACTATGTATGTAGTTCAAGCTAGTCTTGAACTCACTATGTAGCCCAGGCTGGCCTTGAACTTGAGGGGATCCTCCTGCCTCAGCCTTCCTGAGTGCTGGGATTATTAGGCATGCACCACCATGCCCAGCTAAAATGTACACTTTGAAATACGTTTAAATATTTTTAAAAACCTGATGGATTTTTACATATGCATATATATACCCATGAAGCTAACACACAGATCAAGAACTATCTGATCATGGAGGAAACCAAACCACTGTAGAAAAATGCAGAAGCAGAATCCAGCTGAATCTGTAATATGCTTTTCGAAGTTGTTTTGGTCTGGGGTTATAGCTCAATGGTAGAGCATGTGCTTATCATGCACGAAGTCCTAAAGTCCATCCCTGGCATGTGGGGAAAGAAGTTTTTTTTAATTTTTATTTGATTCTGATATTTAGAGATAGTTTACTCTTTCTAGGGGGTTGGGATGGGGTGTGTCAACTCCAAAAGAATCGAGGAAACAACATGACACACTTCTAACTTTCTCCAATATTTCTGCTGTTGTTTTATAAAACAGTCAAGTCTCATTAAGTCATGAAATTGCCCAGGCTGGACTCAAATTTGCAATCTTCCTGTCTCAGCCTCCCAGAGTGCTGGGATTATAGGTACACCTGGCTAGGAGCTGCTGTGCATTTTCTATAGCACATCACAACAGACTAAGATATATTGTTAAGATATAAAATCACAAAGCCAGCTAACTCAATTTTAGCTCTGCCAGCAGGGACAGTTTCTCAGTTTACATACTATTTTTCAGAGTATACCATGTCTCCCCTCCTGCCCAAATCAAACCTGGGAACACTACCACTGAGTTACATCCCCAGTCCTTTTCTACTTTAAATTGCCCTGGAGGGACTCCAACTTGTGATCCCCTTGCCTCAGTCTCTCTCTGTGCTGGGATTATAGGGATGTGCTACCACACCCTACTAAAATATGCCGTACTTTAAAAAACTTACAGATATAATAGATCAACAAATGGAGCAGGAGGCTGAGGATCCCAGAGATTGTGTTTTCCGTTTCCCCACAGCATCTTTGCAGCCACAAAGAAGCCCGAGTAACATGCAGACTTACTCAATTTGAAATTTCTACTTCTCAGCCCTGATCGCAGTTATATCACTAAACCATCCTAGACACCTAGCAGTACAAGGGCTCAAATGTCTAAGTACTTCTGAAATGTCTTTACTACCATATTCCAGCGGTGCGGGAATTTATTGAAACACTGAGCACAAAGGGGATAGCAGCAGGTGATGGCAACCCTGAGTGTGCACCCCTACAGGTGTGCTGCGGCTCAGGAAAGATGCACCCCACCTGGGCTGTTCTCAGTCACTTCTTTGTCTATGCCTTATTTTCTTCATTTGGGATAACAATAAGCCTTGTCATTAAATGTCTACATGGCGCCTCCAAAGCTTTACTGAGAAGCAGTTACCTAACTGCTATGATTTGTTATTGGGTCAGAATGCAGACAGCTCTAATTTAGGTGCTTTCAAACCATTAAAGGGAGCAATATTTGAGCTGGGGTGTGTGCCTCAGTGGCAGGGGTGTGCCTAGCATGGGTGAGGCCCTCAACTCAGTCCCCAGCACTGCAAAAGAACACAAACAAAAACCTTAAGTAAGTTACTTGGCCTCTTTGGCTTGAAATGGTAAGTTTAAAAATAAATGGCAAACAACATGAAAACATGAACTTTGCTGAATTATATATAGGTCTGAACTGAGACAAACTGTCTCAATGTTAGAAAAATTTGAACAGAGTTGTTTTGTTGTTTTTTTTTTTTTTTTAAATCTCCTGCACACAGGAGGAGAAATACAGTGTTTGGGATTACTGACCTGCTCGGGAGTAAGTGGGATTCAAGACAAGCAGCAATCTTGAATGACATCAGGAAAGATGCGGTTTTGACCTCTGTACTCTCTTCTGGGGAGAGTGGAGTTAACACTCACACGGCTGTTCTTCCCCCTGAGATTTTTGCCCATTGTTTTTGAAATGCTTTAACCCTCTTTTCTTGGCAGAAAAGGGGACCTGGCTGTGAACTCTGCAACACTGCCAATCCCCAAGACTCCTTGGGTCTGACATTATACAAGAAATGCAAATACTCTGGTCCGTCCAAACAGGACTTCCCAGCAAACCCTGGCTTGGCGCCAACTCCTCTTCAAAAAGGGAAAGGACGTCAGGCATTGCTCAGTCAGGCTTTAGGCAGCGGGGTCCCAAGCCTGATGTGGAGTCACAGAAGACCAGTGCGAGGAAGATTGTTCTTGACCCTTCCAATCCCTTGCCTGGCCTTTTGAAATATTTATCAAGATATGACAAGCCCAGGAGGCTCCACATACAAATGACCTTTACTGGCAGAGAGAACTCAGCCTCAGGCAACAGAGAAGCAGCAGGTCAGCTGTCCACTGCTGGGCCCTGCAGGTATGGAATTCAGTCAGTTCTAGAGGCCTCCCAGCCTGGGCCTACTTCCCTAGGAAAGGGGAACTGAAATAGCTTGAAAATATCACTTCTCTAGCACTGGCATTCTGGGAAGAGCTCTGAAAGGAGCAAGCCTGCCATCCCACAGGTATAAAACTGCACTTGAAAAGTGGATTTGTAAAGCGAGTGCGTAATACAGTGGCTGAGTGCTTGCCTAGTATGTGTGAGGCCCTGGGTTCAACCCTCAGCTCCATAACATTTTTTTTTTTAAAAAGGAAAGGAACAAAATGGATACGCAAGCGCCTCACTTGAGACTTTTCCATTTCTCCTCTCCTGATATTCTGCCTCTGATGTCTTCTCTGCCAGGAGGACGCTAATAATTATTCCCAGAATCTGCCCTCTCTTCTCATCCCGCCACACACTTCTCTCAGCGCTGTGCCTTGGGTCCTGCATATGACTCATCTGGAAGCCAGATCACCAACACAAAGAGTGTGCCGGCTCTTGGGTAAAGGGCTAATTGGGAAGTAGCCACTAGAGGGTGACATAATGACACACAAGCACATTCCTTTTTATTCAAAGCCAGAGCCAGTCACGAATCCAGCTGTGGGCCTGGGGGTATAAAAATGGATATAGCCTAGCTATCTGCAATACGCCTATAGAGTCATGCAGGCACATCCCTCCCTCAAGCACATTCTAAAATACTGACCTACACTGGCTAGCAAACAAGAGACTTTCAGTGTTTCTTGTCTTTTTGAGCCAGGGTTTTGCTATGCAGTTCAGGCTGGTCTTCAACTCACTTTGTAGCCCAGGTTGGCCTCAAATTCCCAGCAAGCCTCCTGCCTCAGCCTCCTGAATGCTGGGATTGCAAACATGCACCACTACATCAGGCCTTCCAGTGTTTCTTGTGAAAACTACATTTCACCATGCCCAGATATGCTCCGTCATTGCTTCCACAGACCCTGTTATCAGTTAGGGTACAGTAGAGAAACAGATTTATTTAAAAAAATATGACTGCATAGTGACAGTGATGTGCTAGTTAGAGTTACAAATGCTAACAGAGTGATAGAAGGAAAATGTGTTCAGTTTAGAGGAGCCACAGCCTAGAATTTGAACAGATGTCATTAGGAGGAAGGGCATTAGATGTAATGGAAATTTTATTAGGGAACAGGCTGAAGTTTTTACTGGTTTGTAAAAAAAAAAAAAACTATCATACCAACCATAGGCTGTGCTGCTACAGATTTTTCTATACTGAGGAATTCATTTGGTTAATTAAAAAAATATCAACTTCTCAAAGAATTTTTAGATTTATTGTTCAAAAATAACAAACTTTCATCTTAGCCCTGATTTATCTGAGATTGGTGCTCTGTGTTTAAAGTCAGAAAATTTGAGTTAATGCTTTGGACTTTGCTACTGGATTTTTTTTGTGGGGGGGCGGGGGTCTTTTTGAAACAGGGTTTCACTACATAGTTAAGGAAGGCTGGCCTTGACTCACTTTGTAGCCCAGGCTGGCCTCAGAATTGCAGCAATCCTACTGTCTCTGTTTCCTCAGTGCTGGAATTACAGGTGTGCACCACCACACCCAGTCTTTGCAACTGTTTTTATAACCAAGTTGTCTTGAAGGAAAAAATGTTTCTAATCAACTTTTTCTTCATTTGTGCCATTTACCCCTTTAACAACGGAGATTGACAGAACCATCCAGGTGAGGGGAACCAGAGGAGCCCTTCAGAGTGTCCTGCTGGGCCCCTGGGGAGCCTGGGTGCAGGTAGTTGCCCTGTGAGTCTTCCTTAGGAGACTTCAGTCTCCTAAGGAAGTGGAAGGCTTTTGAGCACAAGTCTGTCCCTTGTGGTTAGTGTGGAGGGTCAACTTGATTGGCTTTGGGATGGGTGGAGCACACTTCTGGGGGTGTCTGGGTGGGTCAGGGAGGTGTGGCCTTGGGGTCTCTTTCTGGCCCTTGTCCATTTCTCTCTGGCACTGTTCCCTGCTCTGCTTCTTACCTTCTCAGTTAAACAGCTTTGCTACACCATATCCTTCTGCCATGACGTTTTGCTTGGAGCCAGCTGATCATGGACTGAATCCTCTGAAACCATAAGCCCAGTGAAACCCTTCCTCCTTTAAACTGTGGGTGTCTGGTATTGTGTCTCAGCAATAAGATAGCTGACTAATACAGCTTCTGAGATGGCATCTTACATTTCTTGAGGCAACATTGAAAGCTACATTCATACAACACTTGGGGCTTGAAATGGTGCCTCTGAATCCTGGCTCTGCATTATAGTTCATTTCATGACTTATGGCAAAGTAACTTAAATTCTTTGAGCTTCCATTTCCTCATCTATGAAACGAAAGTTCTTTCTGTTCTTGGACCTGTTGTGAGAAATCATTCAAGGGAAAAACATCCACCAGAAAGGAAGGACTAGAATAGAACCCAGTACATAGTAAGGACCTAATAAATGCCATTTCTGCTTTTTTCATTTATAAATGTACCATGAGGAAAAAACCCTTTTTAAAGACTTGCCTTAAATCACACAACTACACATTTCCTGACAATTATGCCTTTCTTAAACTTTATTTCCTGTCTTTAAGAAATGTACAAGTTAGAGAAGCAGAAACACAGCAGAAGTTCAGAGCATAATACCATGGTCTTTGGGTCAGAGCAAGCCCTCTGTCCCTGTGCCTCACCTCCTTTGTGTGCTGGGAAGGGTGTCATGTCCCATTTGCCTACAGAGTTCACAACTCCTTTTCTGCCTGCCAGCCAGCCAGCCTGGGGCCTTTGACCTAGGTTTTCACTGCCAGCTCTTACACTTTCTTCTGATAAGAGCAGTGGTTCTCAAACTTGCTTAGGCATCCCAGTAACCTCAAAGGCTTCTGATTCAGGATGTCTTGGGGCAAGGAGGCAAGAATTCATTTTTCTGATGGTTCCCATGTGATGAAGATCCTAGAATTCACAAGCCCTGGTAGAACTACCTCCCAGTACCCAGCTTTTTTTTCCTCCTGCTTTATATTTTTTGCTAAATTATACCTCCTTGACAGAGTGTGTGCTTAGCACCTCAAGACCCTGGGTTCAATCCCCAAAACGCCCTCCCCCTAAAGTATACAGATATATCCTGACACATTTAAACCCTCAAGGCATAAACCTGGGTCCAGGGGACCCATCTCTTATTTTCTAATGTAAATATGTAGTTTAGCATTATGGTAGCCAGCTGTGCCTCTCAGTACATTTCCCTGAGGAATACAGAGAGTGAGCTATGTGTTTACTCATTTGGCATGACAAATAGCAAGGAGTGTGTACATGTGCAAAAGTGTCAAAACAGGACTGGAACCCACATTTATGCTCCAACTGGTTTTGTGTATGTTTATCCGAGCATCACACAGGGTCCACTAGACCCACACCACTCTATGATTTGTTAAAAAAGTTTTTTCTTTTGATTTTTCTGGTAGAAGTAGCCCAGTACACTGGCACATGAATAACCTGATTTGCAAGTTTTGGAAGAGGTCAAAAGTGAATCATCAGATTCCTCATGCATGGATGATGAAGATGATCCATTATGGTAAAATATATGCTTTCATAACAAAAGAGTGGTGTGGGTGGCAGATGAGGAGGAGGAGGAGGAGGACAATGATGACTTTGATGTTGGTCATGTGAGCCACAGTTCCTGGGAGAGTGAAATGGAGCAAGAATCGACTGATACGGACACAGCGGATACAGACCTCTTGATTCAGATGAGCAAGAAAATACTTATGTGAGTATATCATTGAGTAGTCAAAATGCTGTGAAATGGTCATGCAACCAAATGGAACAATCAATATTAAGGCTAGGTCTGAAAATATAGTGACAGTATTGGTGGGGTGAAACGTATTAGATAGAATACCAACACCGCCAGTCAATGATGGAAATTATAACAGACAAAATGCTACAAGATGCTGTGAAATACACAAAGGCTGAAATGCCAGTAAAATCTTTTGTATGCACCAATTGCCATATTCAAAAATGTATTTTTTATGACACCTCACTAGCTAGACTGAAAGCATTCATAGGTCTGCTGTACTTAGCCCAGATTTCTCATGGTGATCACAGGAACATGAAAGACTTACAGAAAAGCAATGGGTCAAAATGTGGCATAAAAATTTATGCCCTTGTAGATGCAAAAACTTACTATGCTTTCAACTGAGAACTGGAACTCAGCCATCAGGTCCTTATTCATATAGTAATAAACCGAACGATATTCTCAACAGACTTGTTCTCATCTCCCAAATGAGACATTTGACAATTGCTTTAGCGGTTTCCAGTTGATGTTACATTTGCTAACAGAGCACAAGTTGACCAGCGCAGGAACTGTACACAGGAACAAAGCAGAAATTCCAAATGAAATGTTGCAACTTCAAAACAGAGAATTGTATAGTGCAGTCTTTGCATTTTAGGAAGATATAACATTGGCCTCGTATGTGGCAAAGAAAAGCAGACTGGTACTGCTGGTACTGATGTCACCATTTCACTATGGTGGAAATATTGATAGGGAAACGTGGGCAAAACGGAAGCCTGGGATGGAAACTTTCAACAACAAAACCAAATGTGGAGTAGACGCTGTTGCTGAGTTATGCAGCAACCGTGATGTCACGTGAAACACCCAGCATTGGCCAACGGTTCTGTTTTACTCGATCCAGAACATGTGCGGCATAAACGGTTTGGTAGTTTACAAAGAAAATAACAAGTGCAAAATATCATG